AAACGTTGATGGCAAAACAGATGTTGTTTGAACTGTAGATGAGGTTGTTGGCAAAAGTGTAGTGCTTTGTTCAGTTGTTGTAATTGACATTTCAGATGTTGTTGCAGCGTCATTGGTTGTGCTTGTAGAAGTTGATGGCAAAACAGATGTTGTTTGAACTGTAGATGAGGTTGTTGGCAAAAGTGTAGTGCTTTGTTCAGTTGTTGGTGATTTGACATTTCAGATGTTTGTTGCGTCATCATTGATTGGTGCTTGTTGAAGTTAATGGAATAACAGATGTTGTTTGAACTGTAGATGAGGTTGTTGGCAAAAGTGTAGTGCTTTGGTTCAGTTGTTGTGAATTGACATTTCGGATGTTGTCGGCGTCATCATTGGTTGTGCTTAGTTGAAGTTGATGGCAAAATAGATTGTTGTTTGAATTGTAGATGAGGTTGTTGGCAAAAGTGTAGTACTTTGTTCAGTTGTTGTGATTGACATTTCAGATGTTGTTGTAGCGTCATTGGTTGTGCTTGTTGAAGTTGATGGCAAAGCAGATGTTGTTTGAACTGTAGATGAGGTTGTTGGCAAAAGTGTAGTGCTTTGTTCAGTTGTTGTGATTGACATTTCAGATGTTGTCGCGTCATCATTGATTGTGCTTGTTGAAGTTAATGGAATAACAGATGTTGTTTGAACTGTAGATGAGGTTGTTGGCAAAAGTGTAGTGCTTTGTTCAGTTGTTGTGATTGACATTTCGGATGTTGTCGCGTCATCATTGGTTGTGCTTGTTGAAGTTGATGGCAAAATAGATGTTGTTTGAATTGTAGATGAGGTTGTTGGCAAAAGTGTAGTACTTTGTTCAGTTGTTGTGATTGACATTTCAGATGTTGTTGTAGCGTCATTGGTTGTGCTTGTTGAAGTTGATGGCAAAGCAGATGTTGTTTGAACTGTAGATGAGGTTGTTGGCAAAAGTGTAGTGCTTTGTTCAGTTGTTGTGATTGACATTTCAGATGTTGTCGCGTCATCATTGATTGTGCTTGTTGCAGTTGATGGTAAAACAGATGTTGTTTGATCTGTAGATGAGGTTGTTGGCGAAAATGTAGTACTTTGTTCAGTTGTTGTAATTGACATTTCAGATGTTGTCACAGGGTCATTGATTGTGCTTGTTGAAGTTGATGGTAAAACAGATGTTGTTTGAACTGTAGATGAGGTTGTTGGCAAAAGTGTAGTACTTTGTTTAGTTGTTGTAATTGACATTTCAGATGTTGTCACAGGGTCATTGATTGTGCTTGTTGAAGTTGATGGCAAAACAGATGTTGTTTGAACTGTAGATGAGGTTGTTGGCAAAAGTGTAGTGCTTTGTTCAGTTGTTGTGATTGACATTTCAGATGATGTTGTAGCGTCATTGATTGTGCTTGTTGAAGTTGATGGCAAAGCAGATGTTGTTTGAACTGTAGATGAGGTTGTTGGCAAAAGTGTAGTGCTTTGTTCAGTTGTTGTCATTGGCATTTCAGATGTTGCAAGTTGAGGTGGTGTTGTTGGCTGTTCAGTTGTGGTATATTCATGTACTGTATCTATTATTTGGACATGTCAAGAGATAGATTTTATTTAGTAAATAGTTAATGTTTTCATGTTTTGTTTCTTTTAAAATGGCTATGACTTGATCATGATTATTTAGTTTTTCTTCCATCTTTTGACCTATAACAAGTCATTGTTAGTGTATCTCAGGTCTATCTCAAGTGGTCCAAAATTTCTAAAGTTTGTGTTCCAGAAATAATCTTTTTTTCTCAATCTCCATTGGGCTACTTGTGGTGGCTTAGCAATCACCTTTGTAACACTGGATGTCGTAAAGAAGATGTTAGGGTTGGGCGATGTCTATCAATTTGGCATCAGACGATGTCTATAGTGAAACATCGCGATGGACGATGATATCGGGAGGGAGTGGGGGGAGGGGGTATTTTCGTAATATTCTCATTTTCCACAACATATTTTCCTCTATATCTTATCAGCAATTTCGAATTCGGCACGCTCTGCAGCAGCGAAACAGAGCGAGTCTATGGAGCGAATGTACAGTGATATAACTGCAAGATTCAAACTGCGTGCTTTCGCGCTATGGCTGGCGCTGAGCCAAAGACGGACGCGCGCAGCGCTTGTCATAGGCTATATCACAACTGTTCAGTGTTTTTAACCACATAATATTTATTTTAGGTTTCAGACATTTAAAAACCAGTATATATATATATAATATATAATAGCAAAACAATACATTTTTAGTTTGTAAAATACACAATGGTGTCTATGGAAGTAGATAGGGGAGCGCGGGGCACAACCTAACGCGGGGTTAAATGTAACACGGACCATTTACATAGTTCGTCAGGATCAATCCGGCCGTCTTTCCGCTATTTTTCTCTTGCTGCCAGAAGACGGTCTCACGTGAATTTGCGGAAAGTTTTGATAATATTTCGTGAAGATACTGGACAAAGAGTGTTTTGACACCATAAAAGTATTTTTTTTCATCATAGGTTTTTTTTTGGTTTCTGAGTTGGGTGTATACGTTTCCAAATCTAACTTTATATTGCCTTAATCACTGTCTTGTTGGCTCAAACATAGCACCGTTTTGAAACTTGTCAGCAATTCCTAGCGACTGTTAGCTATGTTTAAAATATGTAATGCACAGCAGGGTTGGTTGTAACAGAGTGTTATAAGCCTCCAAGCGTACAATGATAATCAAATGAAAACGGAGCCACACAACTTTTCAGGTTTGAGTGTACATTTAACTTTGTTAGACTTTCACAAACAATGTTGGGATTGAAAATGTTTAAAATTGAGTGTACTATGAATGATAACTTGTTTATTTATTAAAAAATATGGCCTGTTATTAATGCAATAAACCCTTTACATTTTTATTTTAAGCTCATTTGTATTATCATTACTGTTATTATTATTAATAATAATAATTGTACATCATGCAGCTATCACACACAAATCTAATTTAATTGAAATTACAATATTTATAATTTTATTTATTATTATTTATTGCAAAACTATGCAGCCCTTTTCTATGTCTCTATCCATGATATTGATCCATAATAGAAGGATGATTGGATGAGGGATGGATGTATGGGTATCTGTCTATACAGATGCACAAACAATATCAAACTATACAAATAAAATAGTACTGAATTATGTGTGTTACCCACAAGTGTTACAACTAACCCCTCTGTCTGTTACAATTAACCCCGCATATGGGGTAAGTTGTAACATTTGCACTTCTGTCACTTTAAGTGCAAATGTACGAAAATGGTAGGTCCTAAAAAAAAACTTTAAGTGTGCATTTGTATCAGAGATGTGTATGTTGCTTGTGTAAAAAAAGTATTAATCTAACCTAATTAATTTTTAATTAATTGAGCCAAAACCAAAAAGTGTTAGGTTGTGCCCCGCACTTCCCCAAATAAGATAACAACCCATTCAAATATTTGACGACGGTTTTTACTCATGTCAGAGAGACACAGTTTAAATGATTATAAAGTCAACTCTATTTTTCTGGGCCACTTACTTTCATGTATTTCGGGAGAAACTGATGAATTCCCGCACTGTAATACATCCAACAGACAGAAATGTCTGATCTGCGGCCCAAACACAGTGCCCATCTCACGTTATAGATCAAGATTTTTTTCTTTTTTTTAAAAAAATGACAAAACAAACTCACTTACACGTTTGAGAATTGTAATATAAAATGGTTCATCATGAAATGGTAAGCAAGTTACAAGTTAAGCAAATATTGTGACATAAAAGCGATAAATGTGCAATAGAGCGATGAGCGTTTGAGCGTTTGTCAGCCATCGGCCCAACCCTAGAAGACGTTATACAATAAATGTGTTTATCTGACAAAAGGTAGTAATATGAAAAATATTCATGTTATGTAATTTTTTAGTATAATTTATGTATTTGTAAAAAACTGTAAAACTAATGAACTTCTGATTTTTTTTAAAAAAAAGGAACCCTTTTAATGTTTTCTTTCTTTTTTTACATCTAAACATTAAAAGGTTTTATATTTCTTAGTAATTTAACATAGCATCACTTGTATACACTTACTTACTCTTGCTTACTAAGCTATAAGAACAGAATATTATACTCACAAGCAACAATGCTGGATCGGATGACATCTAAGAGTATAATGGATTCATCAAGGCCTTTTTTTAATGTGTTCTTTATGTCTTCTTCAACGGGAAATGTCTTGTTTTCAAAAATTATCTGACTTAACACCTCTACAGAGCCAGGCCTAGGTAAAAGTAAGAGAGATGAGTAAAGAGAGAAAAAAAAAAAACGTCATGATAAGAAAACAAAATTTACTTATTTTGTCTTGACTTCTGCTGTGAACCTTTTCTTCTAAAGTGTTTGAAAACTCAGAAGCGAAGACCAGGAGACTCGGAAGTACACTGAGGTAACCCCTCCCGGGTTACATTGAGGGGGAGACACTCTGAGTATAACTATTCAGATTGAGCCAGGGGTTCCCAGAGCCATTAAAGACAAAGAGTCTCAGTAATCTGCTCATTTATACCTCAAATGCTAAATTCAGTCTACTAGACTTTCTCAGTTTATATACTATTGTACTGGAACCTAAATTAAACTTTTAAATAATTTTTTTCATCCACTTTTATAATTCACTATAAATAAATTGTCATTGTGTGTCCTTTGCTTTGTATTTGTACAGCCACAGTTATTTGAAAATAGGCAAAAAATAAAATTGTAACATGGGTGTATACTTACATTTTTTAAAAAAAGCATTTGTGCTTATATAACAAAACAGTTACAAGCACAGTTTGAAAAAAAATTATCGACAACAATGTCCATGTGCCACAAGATAACACTCACAAGTAGACATGAGTGAGAGACTTGGAGTGAGTCATGACAAAAGACTTTGCCTTCTGAAAAGCTAAATGCTATTTTTGGTTAATTTGACAGGCTGAAAAAAGCAACAATAGCTCATGTCTGTTCAACTTGTAAACATAAATACAAAACCCAGTTTTCAGTCTAGTCCTTCGTAGACTTTCCCTGATTTTCACACTGGACAGTAAAGCTCTTCAAGCTACCGATGTCAGTGCTGGTTGGACACTAGGTGGTGCTATGGGGTAATTTTTACTGCACAACTGACCCTTCGCAAAGACATCAATACAAACCATTTCCCTTTCAAGGGAACTCGAGCTGCGTCAAACGCTGTGTGAACGCCCCTGCGTCAGTGCGTCCTGAAGCACATATGGAATCAGTCCAATGGCGAGACGGAACGTCATATTTTACATTTTCATTCATTGAGCTGACACTTTTATCCAAAGCGCCTTACAATTGCTATATATGTCAGAGGTCGTTAGGTCTCGAGGGGGCTGATTGTGAGCATTGCGAGCGTTTGCCTCGAAGAATAATCCACTGCCGCCGATCACTCTTCGAGGAGATCGCTTCGGCTCGCGCTCCCCGCGGCTCGGGCCGTGCTTCAGTCGTGGGGATCGTAAATGGATCTGGTTTGAGACGGGCCCCGTCCTTTCCTAGCCTTCACTTGCCAGATCCACAGCCTCAGTTCAGGAAGCAGGCACTGCGGTTTCTTTTGATACTGAGGACCCTTGCTTATGGAGGTTCTCACTCGTGCAGTTAAACAGTTAAAATCTCGATGAACGATTTCTACCTGCTTGACTAAAACCTTCACGCTGGTGCTAACCGTTTTTTCCAGACCTCCACACCGAGGTGTCGAAATCCAGGAAGAAACCGGTCTCGTACCGTATTTTTATGGAGCTATGCCTAGAGCTGAAGAGACCCTTGCTAGTCTCCTTTTCTCTGAATCGGCATCCTTTTTTAAAGCACCAGTGTTACCTTCCAAGCCTCTAAGAAATACCTCGGCTTTGGTTGGTAAGGCGTATTCGGCGACAGGTCAGGCCGCGGCATGCCTGCACACGATGTCTGTCCTGCAGGCATACCAGGCCGATTTGTTAAAGGACATTAGTGAGAGTGAGAAGGTTAGCTCTGACGCAAGTTGAGAACTGCGTCAGGCTGCAGATTTGTCTCTTCGTGGCCACGGAGAGACATTTATGGCTCAATCTTTCTGGTATGAATGAAAAAGAGAAAACCTTCCTTCTGGGCGCCCTGCTTTCTCCTTCTGGCCAATTCGGTGACTCTGTAAAGTCGGTCATGGATAGGTTTCAAGAAGAAAAAAAGCAGGTGGCGGCATTCCAGAAGTACCTCCCACTCTGCGTTCATGTCCCTGGGGCTGCTGGGCGGGAGCAGTCCCGGTCGTCGACAAGCTCCTCACACCGGGCGCAGCAGAAACAGAGTGTTGCGTCTCGCGCTCCCCCACAAAAAGAATGGGATGTGGCGTGGCGCTCACAAACGAAGTCATCAAGGGTAAGGCTGATCTGAGGACAGTCTTTAATGCCAAAAACGCTTTGAGTAAGCCATTGGACTTCTCTGTTTCTATCATGTGGATTTCCCTGCTATCGTCATCATCGTTTTGACCCGGTCTGGGCTTCGTGGAGAGCGGGTCCTTCAACATTTGGAATTCATTATGATAAGATACTCTTTCACTGAACTTCTCTTGTTGGATCGTCATGTAGGTGCTGACGTCTGTGTTCAAAAGACCCTGAAATTGTCTCGACTTCTACGTCGCCTGAAATATTTGCACAGAGAGTCGCGGCAGAATGTTGACACTATTGGGACTGGGAGTGGCATTAAAGTTTTATGCGCTCGGTCAATGAACTTGGAAACAAAAAAGCATTCATTACGCTGTGTTTGCAATACAAACTTGTATTATCCACAAATGACCCGTCAGAAAATGTGACTCGACACTTCACGATTTGCACATCTAAATGTTTGTTCTTTGAACAATTAGAGTGCTCTAGTCTACTATACCATATTGAACTGCACTGGATTTATTTTTTATCTAAGAGACTTGGCACCAGCCAAATGACTTCATAAATGGCTGATTCTCACTGAAGACATTAATATCTTTGTGGATAATTTTAATAGTAATCTAACGGTGGAATTCGTAGAGGTACTTGGTTGTATTAACATGATTCAACATGTGAAATTTTCTTACTCATAATAAGGGTCACACACTTGATCTGGTGTGTTTTGTAGGGGTGGACATTGACCAGCTTGAGAGCAGTGACTTGTCTATTAGCGATTATTAAGAATTAAACCATCAAAGTTAAATGATTGTTTATTCCTTATGAATTTCCAATATTTCCTTTAGCAGGGGGTTTCAAACTTTTTAATGGCAATGAGCCCCAAACAACACCCTATAAGATTCTTTATTTAGGCTTATAATATAATTAAATATAGGCCTAATATAACCTAAACAATACCTTTGTGAGATTATTTATTTAGGGTTATAATATAATAAAATATAGGCCTAATATAATATAATATGATATAATATAATATAAAAAACAAATGAATTGAAGTATTTGAAGTGATGTAATATATCAGTTTAAATGCTTCAATTTGGCTTCTTATTATATTATTATAATATGAAAACAAACTGAAGCATTTAAATAGATCTAATAGCAAAATATTTTCAAGAAAATTGAATATGTGAACTCTTTTATAGTAATTTAACCATGCCTGAAACTCCCCCCCCACACAAAAACATCTTCACCGTTCTGTGTCCATCAACCATTATTTCCACCACATTAATCAAATCACTCTTCTTTAAAACATTATGATTTGATTTTATTTCACATGTATTTACGTTTCTCGTTCCCTCTCGTATTGAAGGTATTTGGTCCGCACACACGACTCACTGCCAATCACACGCGCTCACGTCATTCTCTTTCTATGAAAGCTGTAAACTGCATTCACCAGTTTTCACTCTATAGCGGTTGGCCAGAGCACTGAAATTACTTCTCACTTAAACTACAATCAAATGGATTTCCACACATTTCGCGTCAGTCTTTTATTTTCTGCGTGGCCGTGGCTTCAGAAGTGCGTGGCCGTGACATTAGAGGTGTGCGGCCGTGCACACGCACAGCTTAGAGGGAACATTGCTCGTATGAGGTGGTCATTCAGGCAATTCAAAAAAGTAATACTTTGCAAAACTACAATGGAAACAGTTTCTTTGCATTTACAGGTCATCTGGCGTTTGTAAAAGTCTATCATTCTTTAAGGTTGACACGGTATCTTTGGACTGGAAAGTCACACACCGGATAATCGGATAATAGAAATGCAGTGATTTCACAATAGTTATTGGCATAAGTTTTAAGCAAATTTGGAATGGAAATGTGTCTTATGTTATAAAACAGCTCATAATGTGTTTTTAATGTTCCACAAACATTGTTCCCGTTCGTCTGCCTTCTAAAAATCCCTATCCTTAGAAACGTTTTGAACAACTTACAACATCAGTGGAAAAAGGCAGATAGTTTATCATAACATTCGTAATATACATCATATACATAATTCACCCGCTGTATTGCATATCAACAGAAAAATATACAGTGATAACCCTCTTCTCTTGAGACTCCCCTGCTACAGAGAAAACTTGATTTTCATCCCAGTGGTTCGTTAAGAGACTTTCTTTTTATCTAAGCAGTAACATTACTTGCTAAATGTAAATCTGAAATTGCCTATTTAAAATGACCTACTACTGGACAAAAATGGCTGGTGGTGGGATTTAATTTCAACGGGGTGATCAGGACCCCGACGTGAAGCATTGCAACAATCATGTAATGTAATGTTTACCTCATTCATTCATTTTAAATTCAATAAGTATTTTATGAATGCAGTGCAGTAAATTTTATTGCTTCTCTTACCGTAAATTGATGATAATCGATCTCCGGAAGGTTAAAGGATATTGGTGTTTGAATCCTCGATTAAGCTGCAATGAGAAATGAGCAGTACAACCAATGCAAACAAACACACACACACAATGCACACACATTATGAGAATTAAGCAACATGTTCTGTATTACTTTAATCAATACTGTATTTGATGTTCTATTTTAAAATTTAATGTAAATATACAATGAATTACCTCTGTTGTTATGTTTCTTTCCAGTAATATATATTTAGATGATTGTCTGTCGTAATAATCTTGTAGAAAATCAAGCACCAACTTGAATTTTAGATAAAGATATCCCTCATTCTCCGTGGGGGGATCAAGAGATGCGAGGGTGGTTTTGGGTGTTGTCTGTTGAGTTGTGGTGTATTTTTCTGTTGAAACCACTGATTCGCTCATGCTTGTTGATTGCATGGTTATCCGGGCAGGGGAATTTGAGGTTGTTGGCAAAAGTGTAGTGCTTTGTTCAGTGGTTGTAAATGGCAGTTCAGATGTTGTCATTGTAATAGGAATAGTATTTGTGGATGTTGATGCCAGAACGGTTGTTGATTGAGTCGTTGATGTAGTTGTTGGCAAAAGTGCAGTGTCTTTATTAATTGTTGTCACAGCATCACGGCTTGTGCTTGTAGAAGTTGATGGCAAAACAGATGTTGTTTGAACTGTGGATGAGGTTGTTGGCAAAAGTGTAGTGCTTTGTTCAGTTGTTGTAATTGACATTTCAGTTGTTGTCACAGCATCACGGCTTGTGCTTGTAGAAGTTGACAAAACAGATGTTGTTTGAACTGTAGATGAGGTTGTTGGCAAAACCATAGTGCTTTGTTCAATTGTTGTAATTGACATTTCAGATGTTGTCGCAGCGTCACGGCTTGTGCTTGTAGAAGTTGATGGCAAAACAGATGTTGTTTGAACTGTAGATGAGGTTGTTGGCAAAAGTGTAGTGCTTTGTTCAGTTGTTGTAATTGTCATTTCAGTTGTTGTCACAGCGTCACGGCTTGTGCTTGTAGAAGTTGATGGCAAACCAGATGTTGTTTGAACTGTAGATGAGGTTGTTGGCAAAATTGTAGTGCTTTGTTCAGTTGTTGTAATTGACAGTTCAGATGTTGTCACAGCGTCACGGCTTGTGCTTGTAGAAGTTGGCAAAACAGATGTTGTTTGAACTGTAGATGAGGTTGTTGGCAAAAGTGTAGTGCTTTGTTCAGTTGTTGTAATTGACATTTCAGATGTTGTCGTGTCGTCATTGATTGTGCTTGTAGAAATTGGCAAAACAGATGTTGTTTGAACTGTAGATGAGGTTGTTGGCAAAAGTGTAGTGCTTTGTTCAGTTGTTGTAATTGACATTTCAGATGTTGTCGTGTCGTCATTGATTGTGCTTGTAGAAATTGGCAAAACAGATGTTGTTTGAACTGTAGATGAGGTTGTTGGCAAAATTGTAGTGCTTTGTTCAGTTGTTGTAATTGACATTTCAGTTGTTGTCACAGCATCACTGCTTGTGCTTGTAGAAGTTGGCAAAACAGATGTTGTTTGAACTGTGGATGAGGTTGTTGGCAAAAGTGTAGTGCTTTGTTCAGTTGTTGTAATTGACATTTCAGATGTTGTCGCAGCATCATTTATTGTGCTTGTAGAAGTTGATGGCAAAACAGATGTTGTTTGAACTGTAGATGAGGTTGTTGGCAAAAGTGTAGTGCTTTGTTCAGTTGTTGTAATTGACATTTCAGATGTTGTCACAGCATCACTTATTGTGCTTGTAGAAGTTGGTAAAACAGATGTTGTTTGAACTGTAGATGAGGTTGTTGGCAAAAGTGTAGTGCTTTGTTCAGTTGTTGTAATTGACATTTCAGATGTTGTCGCAGCGTCACTGCTTGTGCTTGTAGAAGTTGGCAAAACAGATGTTTGAACTGTAGATGAGGTTGTTGGCAAAATTGTAGTGCTTTCTTCAGTTGTTGTAATTGACATTTCAGATGTTGTCGCAGCGTCACGGCTTGTGCTTGTAGAAGTTGATGGCAAACCAGATGTTGCTTGAACTGTAGATGAGGTTGTTGGTAAAAGTGTAGTGCTTTGTTCAGTTGTTGTAATTGACATTTCAGTTGTTGTCACAGCGTCACGGCTTGTGCTTGTAGAAGTTGGCAAACCAGATGTTGTTTGAACTGTAGATGAGGTTGTTGGCAAAACCGTAGTGCTTTGTTCAATTGTTGTAATTGACATTTCAGATGTTGTCACAGCGTCACGGCTTGTGCTTGTAGAAGTTGGCAAAACAGATGTTTGAACTGTAGATGAGGTTGTTGGCAAAAGTGTAGTGCTTTGTTCAGTTGTTGTAATTGACATTTCAGATGTTGTCACAGCATCACTTATTGTGCTTGTAGAAGTTGATGGCAAAACAGATGTTGTTTGAACTGTAGATGAGGTTGTTGGCAAAAGTGTAGTGCTTTGTTCAGTTGTTGTAATTGACATTTCAGTTGTTGTCACAGCATCACTTATTGTGCTTGTAGAAGTTGATGGCAAAACAGATGTTGTTTGAACTGTAGATGAGGTTGTTGGCAAAATTGTAGTGCTTTGTTCAGTTGTTGTAATTGACATTTCAGATGTTGTCGCAGCGTCAGGGCTTGTGCTTGTAGAAGTTGACAAAACAGATGTTGTTTGAACTGTAGATGAGGTTGTTGGCAAAACCGTAGTGCTTTGTTCAATTGTTGTAATTGACATTTCAGATGTTGTCACAGCGTCACGGCTTGTGCTTGTAGAAGTTGGCAAACCAGATGTTGCTTGAACTGTAGATGAGGTTGTTGGCAAAACCGTAGTGCTTTGTTCAATTGTTGTAATTGACATTTCAGATGTTGTCACAGCGTCACGGCTTGTGCTTGTAGAAGTTGGCAAAACAGATGTTTGAACTGTAGATGAGGTTGTTGGCAAAATTGTAGTGCTTTCTTCAGTTGTTGTAATTGACATTTCAGATGTTGTCGCAGCGTCACGGCTTGTGCTTGTAGAAGTTGATGGCAAACCAGATGTTGCTTGAACTGTAGATGAGGTTGTTGGTAAAAGTGTAGTGCTTTGTTCAGTTGTTGTAATTGACATTTCAGTTGTTGTCACAGCGTCACGGCTTGTGCTTGTAGAAGTTGGCAAACCAGATGTTGTTTGAACTGTAGATGAGGTTGTTGGCAAAACCGTAGTGCTTTGTTCAATTGTTGTAATTGACATTTCAGATGTTGTCACAGCGTCACGGCTTGTGCTTGTAGAAGTTGGCAAAACAGATGTTTGAACTGTAGATGAGGTTGTTGGCAAAAGTGTAGTGCTTTGTTCAGTTGTTGTAATTGACATTTCAGATGTTGTCACAGCATCACTTATTGTGCTTGTAGAAGTTGATGGCAAAACAGATGTTGTTTGAACTGTAGATGAGGTTGTTGGCAAAAGTGTAGTGCTTTGTTCAGTTGTTGTAATTGACATTTCAGTTGTTGTCACAGCATCACTTATTGTGCTTGTAGAAGTTGATGGCAAAACAGATGTTGTTTGAACTGTAGATGAGGTTGTTGGCAAAATTGTAGTGCTTTCTTCAGTTGTTGTAACTGACATTTCAGATGTTGTCGCAGCGTCAGGGCTTGTGCTTGTAGAAGTTGACAAAACAGATGTTGTTTGAACTGTAGATGAGGTTGTTGGCAAAACCGTAGTGCTTTGTTCAATTGTTGTAATTGACATTTCAGATGTTGTCACAGCGTCACGGCTTGTGCTTGTAGAAGTTGGCAAACCAGATGTTGCTTGAACTGTAGATGAGGTTGTTGGCAAAACCGTAGTGCTTTGTTCAATTGTTGTAATTGACATTTCAGATGTTGTCACAGCGTCACGGCTTGTGCTTGTAGAAGTTGATGGCAAAACAGATGTTGTTTGAACCATAGATGAGGTTGTTGGCAAAAGTGTAGTGCTTTGTTCAGTTGTTGTAATTGACATTTCAGATGTTGTCACAGCGTCATGGCTTGTGCTTGTAGAAGTTGATGGCAAAACAGATGTTGTTTGAACTGTAGATGAGGTTGTTGGCAAAATTGTAGTGCTTTGTTCAGTTGTTGTAATTGACATTTCAGATGTTGTCACAGCGTCACGGCTTGTGCTTGTAGAAGTTGATGGCAAAACAGATGTTGTTTGAACCATAGATGAGGTTGTTGGCAAAAGTGTAGTGCTTTGTTCAGTTGTTGTAATTGACATTTCAGATGTTGTCACAGCGTCATGGCTTGTGCTTGTAGAAGTTGATGGCAAAACAGATGTTGTTTGAACCATAGATGAGGTTGTTGGCAAAATTGTAGTGCTTTGTTCAGTTGTTGTAATTGACATTTCAGATGTTGTCACAGCGTCACGGCTTGTGCTTGTAGAAGTTGATGGCAAAACAGATGTTGTTTGAACTGTAGATGAGGTTGTTGGCAAAAGTGTAGTGCTTTGTTCAGTTGTTGTAGTTGACATTTCAGATGTTGTCGCAGCGTCAGGGCTTGTGCTTGTAGAAGTTGACAAAACAGATGTTGTTTGAACTGTAGATGAGGTTGTTGGCAAAACCGTAGTGCTTTGTTCAATTGTTGTAATTGACATTTCAGATGTTGTCGCAGCGTCACGGCTTGTGCTTGTAGAAGTTGGCAAAACAGATGTTTGAACTGTTGATGAGGTTGTTGGCAAAAGTGTAGTGCTTTGTTCAGTTGTTGTAATTGACATTTCAGATGTTGTCGCAGCGTCACGGCTTGTGCTTGTAGAAGTTGACAAAACAGATGTTGTTTGAACTGTAGATGAGGTTGTTGGCAAAACCGTAGTGCTTTGTTCAATTGTTGTAATTGACATTTCAGATGTTGTCACAGCATCACGGCTTGTGCTTGTAGAAGTTGGCAAAACAGATGTTTGAACTGTTGATGAGGTTGTTGGCAAAAGTGTAGTGCTTTGTTCAGTTGTTGTAATTGACATTTCAGATGTTGTCGCAGCGTCACGGCTTGTGCTTGTAGAAGTTGACAAAACAGATGTTGTTTGAACTGTAGATGAGGTTGTTGGCAAAACCGTAGTGCTTTGTTCAATTGTTGTAATTGACATTTCAGATGTTGTCACAGCATCATTGACTGTCCTTGTAGACGTTGGCAAAGGAGATGTTGTTTGATCCATAGATGAGGTTGTTGGCAAAAGCCTAGTGCGTATTTGAGTTGTTTCTATTGGCAATTCAGATATTGTCACAGCATCATGGCTTGTGCTTTTAGAAGTTGATGGCAAAACACTTGAAGTTTCAATCGTAGATGAGGTTGTTGGCAAAAGTGTAGTACTTTGACTTGGTGTCAATGGCATGTCAGATGTTGTTGCAGCATCATAGATAGTGCTTGTGGAAGTTGATGGCAAAACACTTGTTGTTTCAACCATTGATGATGTTGTTGGCAAAATTGTTGTACTTAGTTCAGTTGGTGTAATTGCCATTTCAGACATTGCCACAAGATCAAGGCTTGTGCTTGAAGTTGATTGCAAAACACTTGTTTGAACCATTGATGAGGTTGTTGATGAGGTTGTTGTCAATAGTGTAGTGCTATTTTCAGTTGTTGTAAGTGGCATTTCAGATGTTGTTGCAGCATCATGGCTTGAGCTTGTAGAAGTTGATGGCAAAACTGTAGTGCTTGTCAATGGCATTTCAGATGTTGTGACTGAAATAGGGACTGTGTTTGTAGATGTTGTTGCCACAACAGCCATAGATTGAGCTGTCGATGTGGTTGTTGTTGGCAAAATTGTAGAATCTCCAAGTTCTGTATCTGTTATTTAGACATGCCCACAAATAGATTATATTTAGTAAAGAATTGATATTTTCCTATTTTTGTTCTTTTAAAACCCTCTGGTGCTCTTCTTTAACTTTTGACCAAAACATTTTACATGTGGAAATTTTTAAAAGCTCGTAGCTTCATTGGAATGGTATGAAACTTGGTGACTTTTATAGCCTTTTGTGTATGAATACAACATATTGAGGGCACGATTCAGGAAATGAATAAGAAATATGCAAAAATAGCCTAAAAATCAAAAAGATTTTTTTTTTGTGTGTGTGTGTGTACAATTTACAAATCAGCAACGATGCAGAAAAAAAACACACACAACAGTTGAGGGGTAACCACACACACTAACCCTGCCCCTAAATCTACCCATCACACAAAACTTTCTTATAAGCTTGTGTACCCATGGGGACCTCAATGTAGGTTCCCAACAGTGACACCGCGTCCCCATGAGTCTTTGTGCATTTAGGTTTAAGTCCCCACCGGGATAAAAAAAGCCAGTACACACAAACACAGAGTAAGATCAAAGGCTGATAGCAAGATCAAAGGATACGATTTTTCCCTATAAAATTCTAAAGTTTGACTAAAAGTAATCTTTGAGAATGAAATTGAGAATGTAAACAAATTAACCTAAACAAATTAATCAATTATGGAATTCACAAGCCTCTCTATAGAGAGCGCTGTACATATTTTTTTTAAGGCCTAGTCTCTTTTTCAACTTGAAATACTGCATTAATTGAAAAATAGATTATAAATGTGGTCACTTTTGACTGTGAAGAGCACCATTTCGACTCCTAAATGAGGAGCACCAGAGGGTTAAAATGGCTATGACATGATCATGATTAATTAGTTAATTTTTCTTTCATCTTTTGACCTATAACAAGTCAATGTACTATTTAAAAGGTACTAGATCAGTTCACCTCAAGTAGTCCAAAAACTGTGAAGTTTGTCTAGAGATCCTGAATACGATTTTTCCACCTCTGCTTCATTTTGAGCCAAGAAAAACCCTGACACCGGTCCACAGTGTTGCAAGGTAGTCTTCAGATTTTTCTTATCATTTAATAATTAGGCCTATATACATTTTAGGGGACCCCCCCAAGAGTCCTAAGTCATTTTGAACCCTGAGTGGTCCCACTCATCATCTAAATCATACACTAGATTTAATTATATTATATGGAACCAATCCAACCAATTTAGTTAATTATACAGCAAAGTGATGATGTCACTGATCATTTCATGCTAACTTGCATACTACGTACTGCTGAAATTTGCCATGTTGCGCCACGTTATCGACCAGGCAGAACAATCCCTCCAACCACTATAGATAGATTCTCAAAATTCTCAAGATTCTAATCTGTTTGGCAGGTGATATGAGCTGTCAGCACATTTAATTAATCATATCCCACTGAATACCAAACTGATTTTCACACGGGTTTTTTTGCTGCAAAGGTCATACGTGTAGCTGATACAGGACACATGGGATATTCTATTCACAAAATACAAACTTTTGTCAGGTAATGTTAAATGTTAAATCTTACTTGTGAAAAGTAATTCCCGAGCGTTTGTCCGCCGATTTGAGCAGGAACATGCTGCACAGTGCTCTGGCACAATAGGATTACGACCGGTTTAAGATGGCGGCAAGGATTTCTCAGTGCCCAGCAGCCAATAAGGCATCTAGTCTCAATAATATATCTATGTTTGAAATAACGAACTTGAGCGTGCAAAATATGTGAGCGCGATATGCGTACCATCAATCAGGCCACGAGCGACGTGTTGGAGACCCCTGCTCTAAAACAATGTGAGAATAATCATTTTCAGCTTGTAATATGTGTCCAAAAGGTTGATAAGAAGGTTTCAAAAGCAATATTTTTTTTATAAGTAGAATAATAAAAGAAAATGTGCCTTCCAAAAAACATTTAATATCATTAATGTGTTGTTGTGTAAAGAAAATAAAAAAGGACATGAGCAAATATGAGTATCACAAAGATGTGTTATGAGGAAAAGAGAAAGAAAGCATGTAAAATGAACTTCAGCTGTCAGAAGGACAGCTCATGAAGAACCAATCATGTACAGAAAGGAATGTTCAAATTCAGAGGAACTGTTCTCAAGAAAAAAGATTGAGAAGATTGGATCAGTTGTATAATTAAGTTGAATACTTGAATACTATTTTTGTGGAATACTTGACCTAGATTCTATCTCCAGCGGCCCCGGGTTAAGTTGAGTTTGAGATCACTGGCGTAAATGGAAACAAACTAATTTAGAGGTCTTTAGACTCGCGTGGAAAGACAGTATGTCACGTTACAAAAAAGGCCCTGAAAGTAGCCAGGATTGAGCATCTTCGCAAACTAATAGAAAATAACCAAAATAATCCAAGGTTTTTATTTAACACTGAGGCCAGACTAACAAATAGATGTCACTGAAAAAACTACAACCTCAAAACCTCTTACAATACAACTTTAATTTAATTTATCCACTACAGTAAAAGATTGAGAAAAACTTTCTCTGAAATGTATTTAACACTATTTGAATTATTTATTCAAAAACAAGGCAAGGATAGGCTACTAAAAAAATGATGTTTGTAATAATGTGACGGTACATCCGTATTTCATATTTTATTAAGGTCTTGTACCGTTAAACAGTGGATGAATAATCATATGCAAATGAAATGCAGATGAGGATATGCATAGTAAAACTAGGCGTTGTAATCTCCATATATGGTTATTTCGGGGACGAGACGCATGTGTGCGCATTCTTCCGTTGCCTGGGATTTATAAAGGGAATTCTGCGCAGGTTCTGGCGTACGAACGGTTTTATAAGTCTGAATATTCTTTTTGCGTACGCCATTTTTGGCTTCTCGGGCGCACGTACACTTTTAGTAAGGATCCTACGCACAGTTTTATAAATGAGGCCCCTGGACATTATAGTAGATCTTAACTTGTCTTTCGAACATCATATTTCATATGTTACAAGAACAGCCTTTTTCCACCTTAGAAACATTGCTAAGCTATGTATCATGCTGTATGTTTCTTATGCAGAAAAGTTAGTTTTGATGACCTCGAGACTAGATTACTGTAATGCTTTATTAGCCGGTTGTCCTGCATCCTCAATAAACAAGCTATAGGGTCAGCGTAAAATGCAGCCGCTAGAGTTCTTAGTTTACCAGGTCAAGAAAATATGATCATATAACACCGATTTTATCATCTCTACACTGGTTACCTATTAAGTTGAAATGGATCTATTTAGAACCAGAAATGGTTCCATCCCCCGCTTCATATATGGAACTCAAAAATGGTTCTATATAGAACCATTTTTTATTTATTTTTTGGTAAAAGGTTCTATTGGCCATATATGGAACCCCAGGGTTCTATATAGAACCCAGAGGAACCCTTTTTTTAAGAGTGTATAGAACCTTTTAGGGGTTCCAAATACGTAGCACTGATAACTATTTAAGGTTCTATATAGAACCTTTTCTTCTAAGAGTGTGTATCACTTACAAAGTATTACTACTGACCTATAAAGCACTAAATGGTTTAGCTCCTGTGTATTTAATGGACCTTCTATCGCCCTACAATCCATCGCGTTGTTTAAGATCACTAAATTCGAGGCTATTCCTAGGATATCTAAGTCCACTAAAGGAGGGAGGGCATTCTCGCATTTAGCTCCTAAACTCTGGAACAGCCTTCCTGATATTGTTCGAGGCTCAAACTCGCTGTCCCAGTTTAAAACTAGATTAAAGATGCATCTCTTTAGCTAAGCATTCACATAATGCTACCTGTTGAATCAGATCGAATGCATTATTATGAACAGCGGCTATGCTAATTATTCCCCATCTGCTTTTCTGCTGTTATCTCGGGACGCAAGTCCCGATGTATAGCGTTCGTCAGCTCCAGTTTGTATCCAGCCTCTCACAGAGACTTCAGATGCTCTAAATTAGCCTAATATGATTAACTAACTGTATTTTTTTCTATGTGCATTTCTGAAATGCACTTTCTGTAAAGCTGCTTTGAAACAATATGTATTGTAAAAAGCGCTAGACAAATAAATTTGACTTGTCTCAGAGACTGTAAATAATGACATCTCACCAACTGTTGTTTGAGAAGTTTCTGTCATTGTTGGCTGAAGTGTTGTTCGTTCAGCTGTTGTTGCTTGCTTTTCAGTTGTTGAAAAATCAGCTGTCTCGGGCATATTTGTTCCAAGTCCATTGCTTGTGACTGATTCTGT